TTGGGGATTTTTTAGCTTGAAAACGCTCACTCGTCACCAGTTCCCTGATTGCATATTTATAAGCGCAGTCAATTATATTGTGCAATCGTCTGATTCATACTTTAACACAAAAGATCGGTATTTTACGTTTTATGGCCGGAAAGAATCGTCTTTGTTGGCATGGTAACTAAAGAAGGGATCTTCGGCTGTCTGTTGAGCTTAATTTGGTTGCATTTCTACGTTTAGTGATGGCTTTATCGGCGTTTATGTTAAGGTATGTTTGAGCAACAACAGCTCTCTAAAATTATTACGTTTGCGTGTTCATCTATTACTCTTTATTCATAAAGTTTTCTTAAAATCTAAAACGAGAGGATTTTAGAACAAAATCTGAGCTTTCCAAAGATGTATAATACAGGCTGTTGTTTTGTAATTGCAGGATTTTCAACCAGGCTGCTTTCCCATATATAGTGTATTTCAATTATTTGAATGTATGTCATGGAGACAATTAATCTTAAATCATGTCTAAGCGTAAACAGCACTTCGATATTGGTGCCTGGGCAAGAGAAAATAAGGCGAAACGACAAGAAATCGTCGCAAATAACCGTACGATTTCGGATTTGAAAGATTGTATTCAAGCAAGTGAGAGAGAAATTAAAGATCTCAAGAGGAAGGTAGCTACATTTTAAAGTGTTTGTCTTATAAAGTCTGGTGTTCTTAATAGATGCTCAATTAATTTTCATTGTTGATGTGTTTGCACACCAGAAGGTTTATATTTGGTTTTCATATTTGGTTTATATTATATTTTTGGTATGAAAGAGCCTGTGATAATTTGATATCACTTGAAATTTTGAGGAATTCTGCATATGTAGTCCCTAGTTTTGAATATTTTGGTGTATTTGGAAGTTTGGGAACTTTCCTGAGGCTCATGTGTGCTTATGTATGTTCATTTTATAGAGGGGACTGTTAGTAAATGAAAAAGTCAAGCTCCCACATCATTCCCATCCAAAGACTTCATCAGTTGTTAACCAAACCTGTAGCGAGAAGCTTGATCTTCCTGAGAGTACAGCACGAAAAAGAAGGAGGTTGATGTTTGATCAAGCAGAAAGAATAAATGCTAAGTCTTCTGATGATAAGAGCTTGAAAAGGAAGTCTGCTTTGGATGGCTTATGGAGTACTTTAATTAATTCCACTACAGCACATGAGATGAGATCGTACATGGAAAAATCTCCATTGGTTATTTCAAATGTTATTCCCTCTATCATTAATGAATCAGTGGTTAAATATGAGCACAGCCAAAAGAACCTGGTGCGGTCACTAGGAGTTCTCTATGAAGGTGGTGTTTCCAGCAAAAAACAATACAACAGGAAGCGAAGTCGAGAAGTATTTGAAACTGATGATCATGGTAAGAAGCACCAAATTACATACATGAAAGGATGCAAAGTTCCCAAGCTTATGGAATACAAAAAAGTGAGGCGCTTTGTAAATTCTGTTGACATTGGCGAACTGAAAGAGATTCCAAGAGCCAACCATTCAGCTCTTGACAAACAGCAACAATCTGACGATGAAAGCAGTGGTGAGCATGCTGTGTCAGGTTGTTATAGAGAGTTAGAGTCCTTCCTACTTAAGATAGCTAGCCTGTATTTAGTTCTAGATAATGCACAACCTGGGTTTCTTAATTGGTTTGGTTTACGTAAAGGCATGTTTCAGGTATCAATAGGAGCAGATGGGGCCCCATTTGGTAAATATAACCAGGCAACAGCTTGGCTTGTTTCATTTTTAAATGTCGCTGATAGAGTCGCAAGCTGTGATGAAAACTACTTAATATGTGGGGCAAATTGCTCAGAAGAGCACCAATCAATGATTGAGTATGGTAAGTTACTTAGAAAAGAGATGGAAATTATTGAAAAGAAAACATACCTCATTGAGGGAATTTCCATCTCTTTTTCATTTGAGTTATTGCCAGCAGATATGAAGTGGTTAGCATTTATCTCTGGGGAGCTTCCTAACTCAGCCACCTATTTTTCTTCATTTGCCAACGTTTCGGAATCCGAAAAGAGTCAAATGGGTAAAACTTTTGGGTCAACTAGTGATGATTATTTTCAACCATGGGACTACCAAAAACGTTTGGAGGTTGTAAAACGTGTTGAAAAGTACAAGAGTAAGCTTACCCAAAAGCAGCTAGTTGGCCGCACTAAGGTAACTCAATTCATTGCAAGTCAAAAATCTCGACAAGAATTTGAACCTATTTTGGGGCCTTTTATAGACAAGGCTGTTGTAGAACCATTACATCTGGCAAACAATAATTGGCAATTTTTGTTCACAGAATTGTTCGAATATGTTTTGTACTCAAAAACAGTAATTCCATGTAGTGCCAAAAAAATAACAGATTTACCAAAGAGCTGCTGTTTGAGAAAGTTTTTGTCATGTTTAAAAAAGAAAGTAAAAGCAAATAGGCTGTATAACTCAATTCTTCGGTGGTTTAGAGAAGGTCGTAAAACTGGCAATGCTTTTCACTTCAGATTCACTGGTCAAGAAACCAGGTTGATGTGTAATGGTTTTTCAAAACTAGTGAAGGTTTTACTGCCAAACAATTTAGACTGTTATGAAGATCTTATTGTCTATGCTATATCATTTATGGCAATTAATCTCAGGGATGCAGTGTCCATATTTTCACGAATAACAGATATGAGACAGGAGCTCCTTGCTAAGTTAAATAGGTGTTGTGTTAACTACTTTAATGCAGCTGCATTATTTCTCAGTAGGATTACGGTTAGTGTTTGAACAGTGGGCAATGTAGTACCAGTGCATGCCAATAAGTTGTTTGAAAAGTTCAAAACAGGATTGGGTTTAAACACCATGCAGGGACGGGAGGCAAAACACCAACGATTGGGGGAATACTCTAAAAATACCACATATCAGCACAGATGGCAACAAATTTTCAGACATGAATATATCGCATTAGTTTGGATGAGGGAACAAAACCCATACATTGATACTTACTGTAAGACCACATTTAAGTATGTGCCTGAACGATGTAATACGGATGATTTTGTCACTGTGGCCTTTCTAAAGGTGTGTTAATGGATGAATGTGAAATATGTTCTTCTAAGGTTGTTACATTTATCAAAGAAAGTGTTGGAAAGAGAAAAGTCTGTGCAAGTTTGCACAAGTATTTGAAAAAATGATGTTATATACCTTTTTAACATAATGTATTATATTTTATATATGCAGTTATTTATGTAAATTTACACTATTTATAAAATAATGTTACACTATTTATAAAATAATGGAAAGTGTAATTAATTAATTTGTGCATATTTTTTGACTATTTTAGTTACATGCACACTTGAAAATTTGTTAATAAAAGAAGAGTTGTGAATGACTATGGAATGTGTGTATGCAATGTGTATAGAAAATAATGACCACTGAGAGGGGCATTTACAGACAATAATTGATAACATTTCAGTTATAAAAGGTGTTCAATTGTTAGAATAACTCAACAAAACAACATCAAAAGTTGTCTTTATTGTACCCTCATTTATAAAACATTGATCTAAAACTGTGGTACCCCATGAGTGTTCCAAAATCCATAGTGGCATTGCACTTTAAGTTGTTCAATTTTTACTTTGTAGGAAAGTTTGAATGGTTTTTCCTGAGATACAATGGCTTTAGCTTCCCCCATGTTCGCAATAGTTTTGATCAAATCTTTGTGGATACCAGCAGCTTGTTTAAATATATAAATAACTTTTCTCATGTTGGTAAATTCGACAACGTGCTCTACTGTTGTTTTAATTGTTGTAGTTGCAAAACAAGTATTCGCTGTGCATATACGCACAATATGTTCAAAAATTTTACACGGCAAATCTCTTACAAGAACTATTTTCCATCCTGTTTTGACAAGAGCTTTCTTCCTCAGCCTCCTCATTATCTGAGAATGCCAAATAGATATTTCACGAATCGCAAGCGGGTGTATTTCTACCAGATGATGCTCCAACTTTTCGAATTCGTCGTCGGCATTCACTTCTTTGCAAAGTTTACCTGCTATCTTAGCCAGATTCTCGAACATTTTCATGTATTCCACATATTTTGGACTTCTTATCCCAAAGCGTTTCAGGTATTTTTCTTTACCGCTTGATACTACTTCCCTAACGAACAAACTTAGATCATTGTCACTAGGAGTACAAGCCGCCATCTTGTTTTTAATTTCGTGCTCTTGCCAAAGTGATGAACCTAGCCTCGCTTTCGTGCGCGAGCGTTTTCACGCTAAAAAATCCCCAACGTGAATTCTATTTTCACAACCTATACGGCTTGCCATTGCAATAGCATCGACGAGCTTTGCTTATGTTATGAGTGCTTTGTTTTCAAATAAGGCATGTGATGTATTTTTAAATTGGTTTTGTATTTGGTTTTGTATTTGGTTTTGTATTTAGTTTTGTATTTTTTTGCAGTTTATGTACAGCCTATAATGGCAGCAGCAGGGAAAAGAGCATAGGATAAAAAAATTGCTGCTGCTTCTGCTCCAAAGAATTTTTCAAGTTGGCAAGACATTTCGAGCAGAAACACAAAGATGAGGAAGAAGTCGGTGCTGCGCTAAAGTCCCCTTCTCTCCGACAAACGCAGAAAAGACGTCTTCGCCAAGCTGAGGAAGATGGGAAACTTTATTCATAATATTAAAGTCATTGAAAAACGGGAAGGTGAACTAAAGGTATAATTGTTTTGTCGATTCTAAGCTGGACGCAGAAGTAAGCTATAAGGGACCTCCATCATGCAGGCTGGTTTGCTGCGCTTTAACGTGAAAACCAGATTGAACATAATATCACTCGTGTTGGTAACAACCATGACCTACACATTTTCCTTATTCTGCATGTCATTTGTGTCGTAAATCTATTATATATAATATTACTAAATTAATATATGTATAATATAATTAAATTAAAAAAACGGCAGAGCCGTAGCTCAACACTAAATTGGGGGGGAGTGTATATTCATATATTCGTCTAATGCCCCTCTGATTTCTTTTGTATGCATGCTATTGTTCCTACGCTATACAACCCCCCCCCCAATTAAGCTACGGCCCTAAAGAAAGGTAAGAGATTTTCAGTTTAACTAGGAAAATTAAAAAGAATGCAACACAAGCCTATGGAGACTCAACTTTGTCCTCTTAATCTCTCACAACATTTCAATTCCACAGAAGAAGAACAATAAATTTCCTTTTTAGGTTGATCAAAGACCAGGAGCAGGAACTGACCCGAAACAATACTTACCGTGCACAGGATGTAATGGCTTTTTCCTCTCTCATGAACTCACAAGGCATGCTGCAACATGCTTGTGATCGGACGAGCCGGCCGGTGGGAAAGTAAAGCCATCGGCCAAGCGTATGCAATTTGATGGCAAGTTGCTATTAGCTGGAGGCGGAGCCAATGAGTGCAGCAAACAGCTGCAAAGCATATTAAGAATCATGGCTTGTGATGACATTTCCGCGGTTTCCCAGGCAGATCCTACAATCCTCGCCATCGGCAGTGACATGGTTGAGCAAAAAGGGAAAGAGAAAGCTATTGCAATCTCACAAAAGATGCAGTTGTTGGCACGGGTTTTGGTGGAGATGGGAAGGCTAACTGGGAAAAGGGATGCCTCCTTATCAACGATTATAACCCCCTTGTATTTTGACATGCTCTTACAGTGTGCAAAAAACCTTGGGGGTTATGTCGTAGATGAGGATGGCTGTAAAAGTTTTTAGAGTCCCTCCACCCCCATCAAATGTGGTTACTCAACAATGACGGCAGCGAAGATCTTGCGGGGGAAAGCACTTAGAGATTGTGACATGGGAAAGGAAAAAGGAGCTCGACAACTTTTTGGAGTTGTTACGATGACAGAATGGGGGGAAAATCACGTCACCGGCCCATGACAATCTCAGCCTGAAAAAAAACGAACAAGCTCAACGTCTTGCCACTCACGAGTGATCTGATGAAGCTAAAAGATAAGATAAAATAATAATCAAAAGATAAAATCATACTTTAAAATTTTTGTAAAAATGACAATGGAGGACGAAAGAATTGTGATTTTCGTCAATTTATAGAAATTTCAAAAGCAGGTGTACCAATCGCAATGTAATTGGAGAGAACATCGAAACCAAGACATGTTTCAGTCACTCTCGGTTTCAGAAAAGCAGCTTTGCGAAAAGTATGTTATTATTTTTTCGTATTTATTCACATTTATTTACCGTCCTTCTTTTGATCTACAGGGTGTCCCAAAAAAAACGAAAACTATTGAAATCACCCATAACAATGTAATTGTTAGAGTTTGAATGCCTAAGCACTCTGTTGGGATCCACAGGTGTGTAAATGTTTGCCATAAGCATTTTTATGCATGCAAATTATGCAGTAAAATTTGCTCGTACGCGAAAATGATATTTAATTACAATATTTAAATGTGCATCTCAATCACCATGACCTCGACATGTCCCCTTTCTGTAGCAACACAAAGCATTTACCATTTTACTGAGTTGCATTAAATCCCCACGGGCTAAAATTCGCGAACACGGCATTCAAATTTTAACAATGAGTGATTTTAATAGTTTTCGTTTTTTTTGGGACACCCTGTATACTTGTCGTTTCAAAGAACGCCAATGTTTTATACCATGCCACATTTCACATACATATTTTTTTCTATATTCACATTCAGCATTGCTATATATAGTCTCAGAAGTTGGAGTTCAAGGCTAAGTTCAATTTCTGTTGAATTGGCAAGGGCGTAGGTTAAATTCATTCGGTTTTAGTGTAATTTCTAATAGAAGACGAAAACTTCTATCAAACAACAAACGGCCATTCAAACATATAATTCATTAGATTTATAGATAAAAATCTGATGACGCGTACACTAAAATTAATGTATAAATTTATGATGCTTATTTCAGCTATATTACTTTAATGAGGTGATAAACATTCTGAAATTCAAAAATTTTTAATAAAGCATATAACGACTTTGTGAAGTAAACTGTTTATCAAGAGCTTTACTCCTCGACCCTATACTCACACTAACATTTTTGTTGAAAACAGTGGGTTGGATTTTTTATCCTTTTCGGCAAATAGGGAGATATATGTACAGCTTTTTATTCACAATTATTTGAATTTTAAGGTTTGACATGGTTGAGATCATAGGAAAGCGAAACAGGAAGGTTTCGGTCATCTTGACACCGGACGTCGCAGATGCGATAGTGATGCTGACCGATCCTTCCTACACAGAGAAAAGTTACGTACATGCGCCCATGCACATGCGCCCATGAATAACAACTCATTGCTGCACAGCCTGAGGGGAAATGACGTCCTCAGAAATGTGTGCAAGAATGCAAATTTGGCGAACGATAGCTTGGTAACGTCAACCAGTATGCGCAAGTATGTTGCAACTGTATCGCAACTGGTTGACATGAACGAGACCGAAATGGCGGTTGGCTTGCCAAGCATATTGGCTACGATCTCCCTATCCATAAGGAGTATTATCTTATCGTCTGCCACAAAACACTCTTGAAATTGCTGTGGTTGGCAATTTGCTCCTGGAAATCGATGAGGGAAGGGCCCACAAGTTCAAGGAGTGAAATTTACGAGACTTCAATATCCAAGGTACCAGTCCATGCGTTCTGTTAAACAGACAACATATATCAAAAGTCAAGAAATAAAAAGGATGGCAAAATAAAACGTACTATGGCAAAGACTATACACTTGTATTTTATTTCTTTACAGGGTTTGAAAATTTTGCAAGAGGACGATGAGGCTGCAAACAACCTTGGTAATGATAAATCATGAATTATTTCTTTTAATGTATAAGCAATATTAAAATATTCATAGGATTGTATAGCTAAATTAATAGCTATTATAGTCTATATTATAATTTGCGCAGCATATTTTTCAATGGACTTGTATATCAATTGGTATATCTATAGATCAATTTTGTCATTTTCGGAAAGAGAATACAAAAATTATATTGTTATATATACTGCTAAGTTGGGCTGCGAAACGTTGCAAAGTACGGAAAATATAGCCATG